AATTTCAATTAAATCATTCTCTTGTGTTAATTAACAACTTATCAAAGCAAATTTTATCACTGCACATTTTACATTTTATCACTGCACATTTTACTTTTATCACTGCACAAATTGGTTATCACTGCACACTAAAATTAGGTATGCATGAACAAGCTTTCGTTGGTAGGGATGCAACTACCTGAAAATATATCCGGAGAATTTCGACGTTTCGAAACGTCGAAATTCTCCTTATATGATGTTTGTGATGTTACTCTTGACCACGTAGCTCAGTTGGCAGAGCATTGGACTAGTATCTCAAAGGTCGCGGGTTCGATTCCCACCGTGGCCAAGCAAACTTTTCAGCTTGCCCGGTGTGGATGCACACTCAGAGTAACATCACAAACCTCATATTCACCTGAGTACATAACACCAACACACACAAATATTCTCCTTATATATTTTCAAGTAGTCGCATCCTTACCAACGAAAACTTGTTCATGTACTGTAAAAAGGCTATTCAGGGCCATCAACGTGCTTGAAAGTCCTTGAATTCTTCTTGCTTTAGTTTCTTTTATATTTCTGAATTTTGTTTGACATTAAAAAACGGACATTTTGTTGAACTGATGTTTAAATTATTGTTTTCGTGTATTTAACTCAATTTTAGTGACATTGCCAAGTCATTGAATTTGGTAAAAGATTTTCTTTGTTTGCAATTGTTAAATTTTGGTTTTTCTTTTCGCAGCCCGAAACTACGTTTGAAGGAAGATATTCCTTTTCAAATTTTCAGGTGGGGACTGCGAGCAGGCTGCTTGAAACTTTGTGCTATCCTTAGGATCTATGAGTTACAGTTTTTACCACCTTTTACCAGCCGAAGAATTTCCTCGAACGTGCATGGCTTTGAATATAATGTCATTGACAAATGATTTTCTTTGTGTGTAATTTTATTTCATCCAACCTGTCACCTGACCAACATTTTTTTCAATCCCTGGGGATTGATTTCACAAGTTTATTGTATTTTTGATGTAGTTACACCCTTAACGCAAACTGCAATGGATGCCAAGACTCGAGATATTACAACAGGTTACTTTTGGGATTAGAATTTTAATAAAATTTTTCGACTGTAAAACACCGTTATCACAGCATGCAACACGAGTAAATAAACGTTCATAATCACAAACGCCAAGATTGGCGATGTATTGATTGTCTCTAAAGCTAAATTTACAAACCCTGTGAATAAATTTGCTATGAGAAAGTATGCCAGTAGATTATAGTTCACAGCAGAGATAAGACAAGAGCAACCGACTGCTGAGGTTTTCTCTTGAAGATCTTTTGTATAAGTAGTTTGTAAAAAAGTTTTGTTTTCCAATTTGCGAGATCGTAATATGCGAGACGAATCTTGTGATGAATTGGGGGATGAATCCTGTGATGGTACCGAGTCATGTTTATATGAAGTATCCAAAGTTAACGAACAAGATACGCAACCACCAGGATATCTAAGGAATGTCTGTGGAGATGATAAAGCAACCATTAAAATGTCGACAGCAAGGAAGAAAGCCAGTAGTAGTACGTTATAGCCAACCTATAGCACAAAGTGTCAAAACAAAGTAATTGAAGAATTTTAATATTTGTGACTTTGAAGGTGTTTGATACAGGTGATTGCAACGCGGAAGCGGTCAACGACCCTGGCAACGCGGCGCTGCTTTCATAGGCAGTAAGATTCATGTCTCATTTTGTTATTTTCCATCTCGGCCACTTTCTGTTACGGTTTATTGGATGTGCGGAAGCAACTGTGCCTGCCATTAAATACGGTATTTTTCCCACTGTGGGGTGGGGGGCTTATTTGTTC